GGGGGGGGGGGGGGGGGGGAGTGACCCATCCTTAAGCCTCAGAGCTTTGTCAACGTGGTGCCCTGCTCCCACCTCAGAGCTGTTTCCTCTTTCCTGAGGAAATACTGTTCTGCCTGTGTGTACGCTCAGTCCCCAACAGCTTCCAAAAGTCCCCACCTCAGAGGGGTGCTCCTTGGTCAGTCTACTACACTAGCCTCCCACACCTCTAACCTGCTTCCCTCTGTATCTCCACATCCCGACTGGTTTTTTGTCACCTTTTCCTACATGGCAGAATACTAGATATTTATTTCCCCCTCATCTTTATCTCACAATAACGAAAGCTCTAGGAGAGCACAGATTCAGTCTTATCTCATTCACTGCCGCACCACCAGCGCCCAGAACCGTGCCTAGCATATAGTAGTCACTCACTAAATATCTGCGAAATGGACAAATGCCAAATAAGTCTCCTTGGAATGCCTCCTTGGTTTCCTGGGAGTGTACATGCACATTAGGAGAGCTTTAAAAATGAGAAAGTGGAGGCACCTGGGTGGTGCACTCGGTTAAGCATCTGACTTGATCTCAGCTCAGGTCATGATGTCACAGTTCATGAGTTCAAGTCTCACATCAGGCTCTGCGCTGATGGTGCAGAGACTGCTTGGGATTCTGGCTCTCCTTCTCTGTGCCCCTCCCCCACATGTGTGCGTGCAAATAAATACATAAACTTTAAAAGCCAAAATAAATAAATAAACTTAAAAGAAAAATAAAAGTGAGGACACAGCTTTGAAACTGAAGGAGTGCTTTTGTCCCACTTCTCAGGGGAACACCTCGTGAGTGTCGATCAAAACAGCAACCTTTGTGCACCTTGACCAGTGATTTTTTTTTTAAATACCTGCTCACGTATTGGGGATGCTAAAGCCCTAGGATCCCAATATGTGTTTTAAAATACAGTTTCTATCACTCTTTGGGTTTGGTGAGGCCAACAGATCCAGAGAGAGCTGCCGCTGAAAAAGAGTCTGTTACTCAGTGCTCAAGAAGAGGGGGCAGGCCACACCACACGAGGCCACACGGGGAACAGCCAGGTCAGTCAGGAGACACAGAGAAGCAACAGATAACAGGGGCAAGTCTTTGTGGCAGTTTCCACAGGAAGGAATGAGCAAGGTGGGGTACGCAGGCTCAGGATTGGCTAGTTTGAATAACAGCAGGAGCGCAGGGGCTGTCCCCACTTGTCTGGTGCCCAGCCCCTCGGTGATTAGGGAAGGGGGGCAGTGGCCCAGAGGGTAGAGCCTGAGAGAGCGAAGGGCTGGGATGTGGGAGTGGTTGGTTTGCACAGGAAAACCATGCTCCCAGGAGCCTCTTTTATGAGGAACTGGTTAACCCTGGGAGACAGTCTCTCCTGGGTCAGCAAGGCCCCACATGTCAAAGCATCTGGAAAACAGAAAATCATAAGGCATAATGAATGCAGCACTGACACCCAGATTAGCACCTGGAGACAGTCTCTGATGTGAGGAAAGGGGGTCATGAAAGAAGGAGTTTTTTCATTCTCTTTGCTTCTCCCTATCACTTGGCTTTAAAAATAATCCCCCAAATGACCCTGCACAGGGGACTTTGACATCCAGGCTCCTGGTCACAGATGAGCAACCGGGAGGGGGAAGAGATGTGCCCAGCATCCTGGAGCTCATCGGGTGGACTCTAGGCCTGGACTATTGAAACCCATCGGTGAAGAGGAACACTTCCCGAAGGAAAATAAGATTATTCTGCGGCTGTCAGCCAGTGCAGTTGGGAAGCTTATTCCTACAACTTTGAGGCATGGTCTTTAAGACTGGCAGCATGGGGGTGTCAGTTGGTTAAGTGTCCAACTCTTGGTTTTGGCTCAGGTCATGATCTCATGGTCTGTGGGTCAGAGCCCTAAGTCAGGCTCTGCACTGACAGCGAGGAGCCTGCTTGGGATTCTCTGTCTCCCTCTCTCTCAGCCCCTCCCCCGCTTATGCCCACATGTGCTCTCTGTAAAAAATAAATAAGCTTAATTTTAAAAAGTGGGCAGATGGGGTGCCTGGGTGGCTCAGTCGGTTAAGCAACTGACTTCAGCTCAGGTCATGAATTCATGGTTCCTGGGTTCGAGCCCCACATCCGGCTCTGTCCCGACAGCTCAGAGCCTGGAGCCTGCTTCGGATTCTGTGTCTCCCTCTCTCTCTGCCCCTCCCCCACTTGTGTTCTGCCTCTCTCTCTCAAAAATAAATTTAAAAATGTAAAAAGAAATATTTTTAAATGGGCAGAGGACCTGAATAGCCATTTTTCCGAAGATAACCATCAGACACATGAAAAGATGTTCAACATCATGAATTATCCAGGGAATACAAATCAAAGGTACAATGAGATTTCACTTTACATCCATCAGAATGGCTAATATCAAAACGATAAAAAATAACTATTGGTGAGGATGTGGAGAAAAAGGAACGCTTGTGCACTATGGGTGGGCATGTAAATTGGTGCAGTCACTGTGGAAAAACAGTCTGGAGGTTCCTCAAAAAATTAAAAATAGATTTACCATATGACCTAGGATTCCACTTCTCAGTATTTATCCCCCCAAAATAAAAACACTATTTAAAAACATATATGTACCCATATGTACACTGAAGCATTATTTACAATAACCAAGAGAGGGAAACAACCTAAGTGTCCATCAACAGATGAATAAAGATGTGAGACTATATAAATGTATAATATTATATATCATATAATAATAATTCTAGTATATATATATATAACAGACTACTACTCAGCCATAAAAGAGAATGAAATTTTGCCATTTGTGACAGCATGGATGGACTTAGAGCGTATTATACTAAGTGAAATAAGTCAGAGAAAGACAAATACTCTGATTTCACTTACATGTGGAATCTAAAAAACAGAACACATGAACAAACAAAACAAAAAGGCTCATGTATATGGAGAACAGAATGGTTGCTACCAACGGGGAGGGGATTGGGGGGATGGTGAAATGGGTAAAAGGGGGTGAGAGGTAGAGACCTCCAGCTGTGAAATGAATAGGTCATAGAGATGTGGGGTGAAGTAAGGTGACTACAGTCAATGGTATTTAGTACATATTTGAAAACTGCAGGCAAGCAGATCTTGAAAGTTCTCATCACAAGAAAAAAATAATAAAATTTCTGTAACTTTTTCTGGTGACAGATGGGGACTAGATTTACTATGGTGACCATTTCACAATGTATATAAGTATCAAATCATTAGGCTGTACATCTGGAACTAATATAATATTGCATGTCAATCACACCTCAATTTTAATGAAAAAAGATTGGCTGCAAGGAAATCTGTGAGGAAGCAAGGATACGTAAGGTGTGAAATGAGCAAAGATATGGCGAGAGCCCCAACACTTTCAGGTGCCCTAATGAATCACTATGTGCCAAGTGAATTATTCACTTGATAGAACTAATTTAATCTTACTCATAACCTACTATTAAAGTAGGATTTTTATTATTTGATTGCAACAAAAATTTAAAAAGTACTTTAGAACTAATCTTGGGGCGCCTGGGTGGCTCAGTCGGTTAAGCGGCCGACTTCGGCTCAGGTCACGATCTCGTGGTCCGTGAGTTCTAGCCCCGCGTCAGGCTCTGTGCTGACAGCTCAGAGCCTGGAGCCTGTTTCAGATTCTGTGTCTCCCTCTCTCTGACCCTCCCCCGTTCATGCTCTGTCTCTCTCTGTCTCAAAAATAAATAAATGTTAATAAAAAAAAAAATTAAAAAAAAAAAAGAACTAATCTTAACCTTCTACTCAAGAAGTATCCCAAAAATTACACAGTTGGTTTTGGTTGTGTGTGTGTGTGTGTGTGTGTGTGTGTGTGTGTGTGTGTGTGTTTCTGTCTGTAACTAAAAATACTATCCCCCAAAATACATTGTTAAAATGAATAATTAATCGTATTTGGCAACCTGAACACATTTTAGACAAAACAATTAATCCTTTGTGGAGGGCAAGTAATCCCAAATAATGTTAGAAAGGATTGTGGAATTGAGTCAGAGAGGTGATTAAGGTTTATCTCAGGTCACACAGTCAAGTAATGCTATATTTGGGCTACTGTTCCATTCTCCTATCACCCCACACTCTACCACAACGTTTCCTTTCATGGCACGTGTCAGAATGACCGCTACATTTATCTTCTTTTTCATGTGCATACAAACACCTTTAGAATTAAATCTTCATCTGACGCCTTTTCATTCTTCTTGTCCGGATCTAAGCAGTCACACAGTTGAGCTAGAAATTCTTCATGTCTCCTGCAATTCTTTGAGACTTGCTTCTTATTCTCCTCATTTTCCTTTAAACACTTTCTATAGGGCAAATTAACAAATAAGTCGAGTTTTAACGCCATACAAGAGATCATTCATCAAAGTTCGAAACTTAAGTTCTCTATAATCCTATCACCATTTTCAACACAATACAGTTTCCCAGACACAGAGCACATCGTTGTCATGCAAGCCCCATAAGGGAAGGAGAAAAGTGAAAAACATCCTGGGTATCTACGCTTTGCAGAAATGTAGAAAAATCTTCATAGCATCTTAGATCTAGTAACAGCAAAGGAAACAGACTCTCTGCCTCTCGTCCTCCACCAGTTAGGATTTGCAGAAGCAGCAATAAATCTCTAGATCACACACGGATATATATAGTCATGGGTCTCCTTTGGGTTTTCATGAGTAAAAAGGACAGTGCTGCTATATTTCTTTTTTTTTTTATGTTTATTTATTTTTGAGAGACAGAGGGAGAGCGTGAGTGGGGGAGGGACAGAGAGAGAGAGAGAGAGAGAGAGAGAGAATCCAAATCAGGCTCCAGGCTCTGAGCTGTCAGCACAGAGCTAGATGTGAGGCTCGAACTCACAAACCTTGAGATCATGACCTGAGCCAAAGTTGGATGCTTAACTGACTGAGCCACCCAAACGCCCCGCTGCTATTTTTCTTCTAGTGCATCATCCTTTGTTTTATTTTCAGACATTACACAGTGATCTATAAGGGTTAGTTAGGGCATTCCCTGGTCCATGGCCAAGCATAACTATAATAAAAAATATATCAGGAGCAGGGGATGTTCCCCCTCTAGAAAAAAGAGATGTTAAATCACCAGCAAAGACTATTATTAGTTTTCACACATCCAGAGTTTTTAAAGAGTACTGATATGGGCCAGTCAAGGAAAATCAGTTGATTATGCTCTGCTATGAATATTTCATTTCAAATCTCAGATAGGTTTGCTGAAATAGTATGGTCTATTTCTAATGCTTTAAATGTTAGAGACTAAGAGATCATAAAAAAAATAGACACACTTTAAAGACAAATTAGAATCATCTCAGTAATTTGGTATCACTTTTTCAGTACCCTAGATAATAAACATGATTATTGCTTTCCCTTTTTACCATGTTGAGTGTTTACTGCAAATTCTTTCACTCTATTCAAAGATTAACAAAGCATGTAATTGCATATACTCAAAATCATATCATATTTCTATTTAGAAAAATGTATAACAATAAAAGACTAACATCAGTATATCTCTAAGTCCTTATTTTCAGCATCTAAAAGGTAATATTTAGTCATCTCTCTGACTCATGAAAGGCACAGTTAATGCTATGATTCTGATTGATTTATATGTATGATTCCACACATTCTCTCCAAGATTTCAATCTTGTTTCTCAATCCTAATGGTTGCTGAACTATTTCCACTTCTATTCGCATTTCACTTTGACCCAACAAAGTTCCAGGAATCTATCCTAAGGACATAATCACATAAATTTGAAAATATGAATGCACATGAATATTCATTGCATCTTGGTTTATAATAATTTTTTGACTAGAACTAACCTAAGTGCCTACAGGAAATAGCAAAGAGAACTGGTTAAGTAAGTTACAATATCTCAGGCAATGGGTATCATGGGCTATTAAAAATGATATAATGAATGCCTTTTTAAAATATCTACAATATATTATTCAGTAAAAAATAGTTCATTACATGATATAATTTATGTACAACTATATGAAAACCTGTCCACCAAAATGTTCAGTATAAACTCTTGGAGAATCATAAGGTCTTGAGTAATTTTAATATTTTTGGCAATCTTCTATATTAAAAAAATATTTTTATTACATATCATTTTATTACTCATTTATTTAGTAAATATTGATTGGGTACTTACTATGGACCAAGCCCTATTAAAGATACTCAAGACATAGTAGTAAATAAAACAGATGAACATCCTTGCCCTCATGGAGCTTATGTTCTAGTTGGGAAGATGGACAATCACCAAAATTAATGTATGTAAAATATATACTACGTTATTTAAAAAGCTGGAGGGAAGAAATTAAGCAGGAAAGGGGATGAGAAATATTTGGGGGGAGCAGGGTAAAATTTTAGATGTGGTCACTCATGGAAGACCTCATAAGAAGGTGACTTCTGAGTGAAGATCTAAAAGGAGCAGAGGGGTAACCATGCAATACTTGGGGGAAGAGCTTTCCAGGCAAAGGGATTAGCAAGTGCAAAAGTCCTGAGGTAGGATCACACCTGTTATGTTCAAAGGACAGCGAAGATGGAAAGAATAAGAGAGGGAATGGAAGCAAAACCAGGTCAGGATGAGCCTTCTAGGTCATAGAATATCCTTTGTCTTTACCCTGAGTGAGAAGTCATTGAGGATTCTGAGCATAGGACCGAAAAGATCTAATTTGAATGTTTTTATAGGATCACTCTGGCTACGAAGGGCACAGGTGGAAGCAGGAAAATCACTTAGGAGGCTACTTCAAAAATCCAGGAGAGAGATGGTAGTCGCTTGAATCAGGTTACTGGCAATTAGGGCAGCAATGGGAAGTACTCAAAATTTAGATTTATTTTGAAGGCAGGGATGATGGGACCCGTTGAAGGATCAGACATGGAGTGTGAAAAAGCAAGAGGACTGAGGAAGATTACCAAGACTGTTGGCCTGACAGACTAGAAGAATGGAATTATCACTAAAGGAGACAAGGAAAAGGGCAGGAGGATTCTGTGGAAATAGCAAGAGTTTCGTTTCAGCCATGTGAGGTTTGAGATGCCTGTTGGACATCCACATGGGGATGCTCAGTAGGTAGTAAAATATGTGGGTCTTGACTCTGAGAAGAGATCTAGGCTAGACAGAGACATGTGGGAGTCAACTAGCATTTAGATCATCTTAACGTCATGAGACAAGATCACCAAGAGAGCGAATTTAGATAGAAACCAGAAGAGATTCAAGGACTGAGTCCCGGGGCACTCCAGTCTTTGGAAGGCGATGAGAGGAGATGGGAAAAATAAAAGGGACTACAGCAGGGCAGCTAGAGAGGACAGGTACAAAGCAGGCATGTGTAGTGTCCTGGCAGTCAGAAGAAGAAAGTGGTTCAAGGAGAAAGACCAACTGTGACCGATGTACTGGTGGGTCAAGTAAGATAAAGACTGATCATTTAATCTGTAACATACAGTCACTGGTCACCTTAGTGAGAGGTGTCAGTGGAGTAGACCCAAGAGAGGAGAGGAGAAGAAATGGAGACAGTGAGTCTATACACACACTTGAAGGAGTTTTCCTGGAAGCAGAAGGACAAAAATAGGACAAGAGTTGGAAGTGTTGGGTTTTTTTTTTTTTTAATGTTTATTTTTGAGAGACAGAGACAGAGTGCGAGCAGGGGAGGGACAGAGAGAGGGAGTGAGACACAGAATCTGAGGCAGGCTCCAGGCTCTGAGCTGTCAGCACAGAGCCCGACGCGGGGCTCAAACCCACGGACTGTGAGATCATGACCTGAGCCGAAGTCGGACGCTCAACCGACTAAGCCACCCAGGTGCCCCAGTGTTGGGGTTCTTTTTCAAAGATGGAATAAGTAAAATAAATATCAAGTATCCTATTATTAAAGTTAGTTAAGTTATGACACATAGAATTTTAAAAGTATATTTTAGGAACAACTAGTTCCCAGTTTTGTCTCAATAATTACCTTTTGCCAGAACTAAGTGTGGAAAACCCAGATTTCATGAGTTCTCTGCATAAACTGGCAATAAAATCTAATGAGGAGTGTTCGGGGTGGTCTGGAGTGGTCTGGGCTTCTGGGGTATTTTTACAGCCAGCTTCTGAATAAACACCTCCCTCTCTGTGTATTCCACCACCTCTGGTTAAACCTCTACTTACAGAAAATCTTCCAAATTATGTATATAGGCATTTGCAGCCCTAATCAATTGGACATAAACATGCTTAGGACAAGGCCTTGTTTGTCAAGGTTCCTGGTAACATTGAGAAATGAGCTTGAGAAAAATTTTCAAGACTCCAAAGACATTTGAGGTCAATAACGTTTTTCTCCTTCAAATTGAGTTTCAGGGCCAAAGAAGGCAAAACACCAGTACCTTCAAGCGTGTGTCCTGCTATCAGAAGCTAGTATTTTAACGCTAACTCAACTAACAAATATATCGAAATACACTTACTGTAAGTTCTCATCTAGTTCCGCAACTTTCTTCTTCAACTCCTGGTTCTCCTTGATTGCGGTGTGAGCTGTGATTTCGGTTCTAATTTTAGAAGTGGCAAGTGCTGCTGATTCTTCTTCCAGCTCCTGAACTCTGTGTCTCAGAGAGGTGAGGAGAGATGATTTTCTAGCATTATTTTCTTTGTAATTCTCCATTTCAGCTTTCAACTCTTGACAGGAGGCTTCTTTCGAAAGCATCTTGGATCGGAGATCTCGAAGCTAACATAGAAAGCCCATAAAAGGAGGAAAAGGATTTCAGTGGCGTAAGTTCGAAGTACCTCTAAGAAACCCAAAACCATGGGGCGCCAGGGTGGCTCAGTTAAGCGTCTGACTTTGGCTCAGGTCATGATCTCACGGTTCCTGAGTTCGAGCCCCATGTTGGGCTCTGTGCTGACAGCTGGGAGCCTGGAGCCTGCTTCGAATTCTGTGTGTCCCTCTCTCTCTGCCCCTCCCCTGCTTGTGCTCTACCTCTCTCTCTCAAATATAAGTAAACATTAAACAAATTTTTTTAATTAAAAAAAATAAAGAAACCCAAAACCATAACTTCAAATCTCACACGTTTGTACATGACCTAATCCAACTTTTATTTTCCTTTTTTGCTATTTGCGTCTGTATCACCAGATGAGAAATTATGCCTAAAGAATGGACTTCATACTATGTCTCTTTCAAAACCATTGGAGCAATGTCTTGGGGGTGATTCAGTGCCACTCAAGAGACATTTGTGGTGTTTTTTTGCAAAAAGCAATAAAATATTTTGCAATGGTAATTCATTTTCTAAATCTGTGTTGCTGCTATTGCTGACAGACAATGAAACAAGAAACTTAAAATACTTGTAATTTCATGGCCACAAGTGGTTCCTAAGTAGATACAGACTATTTGACATATCACTGTATTTCTTCCACTTGCCTTCTAGATCCTTATTGTGGGCAATAAAATAATAATAATAATAATAATAATAATAATAACATTTCCAAGAAAAATATGGAAGAAAAGAAAAATCCTTACAAGATGTATACAAAAGAAACATTTTAACTTATGAATTCTGTGCCATCAAAATACTGAATGATGTCTGTGCCCTAACAGGATGTCAGGCCCCCCCATAAGAAAACTTTATGAATGCATGTACTGATTTGGAACCGGGAGTATACATGCATACAATTTTTCACACACATACAAGGTATCAAATCATCTCTCGGTGGGGTCCCAGCAGCCTAGTGAAAACACTAGTTATCTCCCAGGGAAGCCTAAGACTCCCTCAGGGCCACCAGGCTATGAACAGAATGGACCTAGAGAGACTCTCTCAAGAAACTCCATAATCGACCAGATTCAGCCAGGAGGGTAGATGGATCCCAATCATCATCCTAGAATCTCCCCAGCCAGTCAGAGCTACCACTATCCCAGGAATCCAGAATTCCATCCTAAGAGCTCCAGATTGCAAACAGTCCACATTAAAGGAACATATTCAGTAAGATGCCAAAAATGCCCCAAAGCCAAGGCAGCTTCAAGCAAAGCCATCAGGTGTCCCCAAGTCTCTCAAGGCTGTGAAGCCCCTCTGACATCCAGAATGCAGCCCATGTCACCTCGCTTTGCACCACGGCAAATGCATAACCTTGCAGGAATTCCCTACGAGGGGAGTAGGTGCACCATAACGGAATAAGTACAACCTTCGCCGAAAGTTGTAAAGCTGTATCCCCCCCTTCCTGTTTCTTAAAGTTTCTTTATTTATTTTGAGAGAGAGAGAGAGCATGCACAAGCAGGGGCATGGGGGCAGAGAGGGAAGGAGAGACAGAATCCTTAGCAGGCTCCACACTGTCAGCACAGAGCCTAACATGGGACTCGATCCCACAAACCATGAGATCATGACCTGAGCCAAAGTCAAGAGTCAGACGCTCTTGACTGAGCCACCCAAGCAGCCCATCCTAGCCTATTTCTAATCACCTCTACACTCTGCTTCACTCAATAAGAAACTAAAATGGTCCACTTCTGAGTCATGAAGATGCATAATCTTACCTCAGACTGAGCACATTCAAATTTGACCAAAGTTGCAGCAAGGTCACTTCGAGCACTTTCGGCCACATTCCGATAGTGGTGTAACTGCTCCCTAGTGACCGGGACTTCCAAGAGACGGTCGTAAATTTCCTGACAGGGTTCCCCCAAAAGACAAAATATAAAGGAGAGTTTTAAACAGTCTTTTCTGTGCAGCTGTAAAAAAACGAGATTAAACACAGAGCATTCTTTGTGGTCCAAACATCTCGAAAATGCTGCCCAGGGAAGTGTCTCATCCAGATCATTTCATTCTCAAAATTCCGAAGGAGGCGGGAGGCAGCCGAGGAATGAATGATGTGCTCCCCCAGGATGGCATTTAAGAACTGGCCTTTGCCGCTTTAGAAGGCTTCCTTCCACCCAAGTCAAATGCTATTTGACCTCTTTCCAGAACTGAGAGTCCACAAAGAACTGTCAGAAGAGACGCAATGTGACAAGGTCCACAGCAAAGAGGGAGTTTTCATTGTCCTTACGTTTCCAGGTAACAAAAATCATCAATTCATCTCATCTTTTGAATAAAGTGTGTCATATGTTTATCAAAGAGATCATGTGAGTTAAAAGTAAAAGACGGTCCCCTTCGTAATTATTCACGATTACCACTTATTCTCAACCTCAGAGCCTATCTCAAGGTCACGATGGTGACTCAGATGAATGCAGAACATCGGTGATCGCACGGCAGTGCCTGGGGAGTCTCTGTGGAGACTCAGCTCCGCTGATGGCTGCCAGTGCAGAAATGTGGATCCCAAAGTGGCCAAATTTTTTCCAATTTTTCAAGCAAGTCATATATCCAGACTTTTTGAAGTAAAAATTCCCAGTTTTTGCAACTTGGCAACTAATTTAAATGTTTAAAAAAGAAACACTGTGTGATCCAAATAAACACATCTGCAGAGCAGATTTGATGGGTTTGGCCTGTGGGTCATAGTCTGTAACCTCTGCTTCTGTTTCTGTCTTACTCAGAATTATTCCTGAGCTTGGATGGATACCTCTGCCCACCTCTGTGAAGTTTCCAGGGCCTGTGGTCTTTGTGAAAGACATACAGGAGAGCCATTCATTTTTGAAGAAATACGAAAGGGGTCACATAAAGGAGGGTTTCCTGGAATTATCTGAGAGGCCTCAGGGGACACACTAGTAAAACTGGCTTATGGCTGCCCAGCTACTGAACTGCCAAAGACTACTGTTTGGAAATATTCATGAATGCAAAAGTCATCTCAAAGCCCTTCACTGTGTAACAAGCGTTGTCATGACTAGTGTGTTTCGATCCACAAAATGCCAAACAAAACCTCCAGTGCACTTAGTAACAGCCAGTGTTTGCCAATCACAACATATCCAAGAAGATGGTAGGTATGTACTTCTGGGGAGAAAGCATAAAATGTTTAACTAGATCTAATAAGAGAACCACATCCTGTTCAGCCTCACTTAATATTCAGAAGTAACTTACCCACAGCAATAACCACCACAGCAGTATTTTCTAAAATAGGCCACATGAGGACCTTTGGTCCCTTATGAGTGGTTTGAACCAGGATATGTACAGCACACGGTTTTATAAAATTCATTAGGAAAATAAGTTCTTCGATAGCTATGATTCTTTCTTTCAATGACTAACATCCTTTTTCAGTAAATGATGTAATCATTCCATAATGTCCTTCTTATGAAGGACATACCTCCTTCTTACCTCCTTCTTATGTCATACCTCCTTCTTATGAACACATAGTGTCCACTGGACAGAATATTAAAAGGCACGCAAGACCATTTTAGGTATGGCCCTTCATTTTAGGAGGTTACCCTCTAACGCAGAACACTATCAAAAAGCATTTACATCTTCAAATGTGCACGGGTGAAAGAAACAACCCATTAAGATCTCATTACCTCTGATACTGGAACGGGACCCACATCAGGCAGACTCCTGATTATTGAGTTTAGAAGACAATTGTTGGGTTTAAACCACCCTTTAAATCAAGCAGACTGGAGATTATTCACCAACACATATTTACTGAAAACTTACTCAAGGTCAGGCACTGAGCTTACAGCCTACTAAGAAAAAAGAGCATTTATCAGACATCCTTAATAATGATTATATAATTACAAACTGAAATACAAGCAAGGAAAGAAAGAAGCAGAAAACAAAGGAAACTGACATATGATCAGAGAAGAGGGAAGGAAAGATTTCCCTAAAGAAGTGATGATTGAGTAGGCATTAAATAGGCAAGAGGGGGCGCCTGGGTGACTCGGTTAAGCGCCAATTCTTGATATCAGCTCAGGTCATGATCTAAGGGTCATGAGATCGAGCCCTGAGTGGGGCTCCACACTGGGCACGGAGCCTGCTTAAGATTCTCTCTCTCTCCTTCTCCCTCTGTCCTTCTCCCTCACACAATGTGTGCTCTCAATACATTAAAGAAAGAAAGAAATAGCAGGAGGTACGGAAGCAGGTGCAACACACATCATTCAAATAGCCAGAAGTCTCAGCAAAGGTCCTGTGGCAGGATCGTGCTCTGTGTGGTCCACGATTTGAGCAAAGGCAGTGAGGCTGCAGGACAAGAGCAACTTAAGAACAGTGCCTTGACAGGCAGCTCTGAGCTCATTCACATATGTTAGTGCCACATCGGCACTATTCTTTTTCAGAATATTCCTGGCTACTCTAACTTATGCCTTCTGCCGTGTGAAATTTAGAATCAGCTTATCAAATTCCCAAAAATCCTGTTGGCATTTTTATTGGGATCGAGTTAATTTTACAAATAAGGAGTACTGACAACTTTTAAATATGGAGTCTTCCAACAGAAGTCCTTTTTTTTCCCATTTGTTCGGGAATTCTTTTATGTCTTAGTAGCTGTGATGATTAATTTTATATGTCAGCTTGACTGGGCCACAGGGCTTCCAGATACTTGGTTCAATATATTCTGGTCATGTCTGTGAGAGTGTTCCTGGTGAGGTTAGCATTTGAATCGGTGGAAGACTAAAGCGGATTGCCCTCCCCAGCGCGGGTGGGTCTCATCCAATCCTCTGAAGGCCTGAATAGAACAAAGAGGCTGAGTAAGGATTCTCTGTCAGACTGTCTTCAAGCTGGGACATCGGTCTTCCCCTACCTTTGGACTGAGACTCAGATAGGGGCTTACTCCAGCTCCCCTGGATCTCCGGCATGCTGACTGCAGATCTTGAGATATCTCAGCCTCCATGATGCACAAACCAATCCCTTATCATAAATCTTCATGTATATATTCTCTCTCTCTCTCTCCCCCTGGACAGAAAACCCTGGAGAACCCACCTGAGCCCTAGAAACACCTCTGTGCTAAGAAGGCTCTGAAGTGTACCACAGAAAGCCATTCCTTCAAGACGCTCTGAGAGAGCTGGACCGAGAAGAAATGAATGGCAGTGGCATGAGAGGACGACAGGGACATGGAGAGACCATGCAAAAGCTGAAAGAAGAATACGTGAATGTATTTCTTTATGACTAAGCTCTTCCCTCTTAGCCCTGAAGTCACCCTATATAGATCCTTATGCAGTGTTCATAGCCGTCTCCTAGATACCTCCTGTTTGGTTTGGAATACTTCGTTCATCTGAGTCAAGAGCTTGGTTGTTGTCATGGCTCTTTATTTTCTGGGTTTGTGATGGTTTTCTACTTTATTACACTGTGCTCAGAGCACATCGATTGCATTCTGGGCTGATGCTCACTGGCGTACCCCAGTGTGGTGGACCAGCGTCCACTCTGGATTGGGTCTATTCGGACTGGAAAGTGCTTTGGTATATGAGCCATTAACTGTTTTCCCCCCATCATCCTTGTCTATGTTATTTCTACTTCAGGGAATTTATTGAGGTTTTGTGAATGCTCAATTTTATGAATGTCTTATGGGCACTTGAAAAGAGGGTGCCTTTTCTATCTTTGGGGCTTGGAGCTCAATATCTATCAATTAGATAGATCTACCTTGCTCGTTATTTTCATTGGGCACTCCTAGCCCAGCCTCACTTCTTTTTTTATTTTTTTTATTTTTTAAAATTTACATCAAATTAGTTAGCATCTAGTGCAACAATGATTTCAGGAGATTCCTTAGTGCCCCTAACCCATTTAGCCCATCCCCCCTCCCACAACCCCTCCAGTAACCCTCAGTTTGTTCTCCATATTTATGAGTCTCTTCTGCTTTGTCCCCCTCCCTGTGTTTATATTATTTTTATTTCCCTTCCCTTATGTTCATCTGTCTTGTCTCTTAAAGTCCTCATATGAGTGAAGTCATATGATTTTTGTCTTTCTCTAATTTCACTTAGCATAATACCCTCCAGTTCCATCCACGTAGTTGCAAATGACAAGACTTCATTCTTTTTGATTGCAGAGTAATACTCCATTGTATATCTATACCACATCCTCTTTATCCATTCATCCATCGATGGACATTTGGGCTCTTCCCATACTTTGGCTGTTGCTGATAGTGCTGCTATAAACATGCGGGTGCATGTGTCCCTTCGAAACAGCACACCTGTATCCCGTGGATAAATGCCTAGCAATGCAACTGCTGGGTCGTAGGGTAGTTCTGTTTTTAGGTTTTTGAGCCTAGCCTCATTTCTATCCTTTACTCTATCATGAGCTGAGTCCAACCTCCCTTTACTACCGTAATTCTCTATTACCTTGTAGCTCTTGTTCTCTTGCCTCAGGAACACTGGTGCTGAGTTGGCGCAAAGATTCAGAATGTGATCTTCATTGCAAATTGTACCATACAGCATCGTAACAGGCCATTACACATTTCACTTACTCCTTTCTTGCTCCGAATCCAGCCTTTTCTGATAATGACACCGTGATCCCTGATTTCTTTTTGTTTGCATTTGCCTACATACACCTTTGTTCCCCATTTTTGTTTTCAACCTTTCTGGATCACTTCGTTTGAGATGTCTCATATGTAATGAGGTTAGTTTTGGCTTTGTGATCGATCCTAACATTCTTTTTCCCCAGCCTGGATGACTCTACTTTACATGTGTTAACGTGACAGATAAGTTTGGTCTTAGTTCTGCCGCATTCTTTTATGTTATGCTTCTTGTTTTTATCACGCTTTCAAAATCCTTCACCACAAATCTATTTGCTTTGCTTTGTTTTGTCTGATAACCGGGAAGGTTTG